ACCGGGGGGGGGGGGAAGCAGGTGACTTATGGCAGGCTTAGAGAGGAGGTAGTTAAAGGGGACTGCTCAGCTTTCGCTGATAGACACTGGGGCTCTATGAAGACATCACAGGAACCCAACTGTGGCTTAATTCGACTAACTATAGGTTAGGGTAGCCAACTCTGGCTTGGGAAATTCCTGGAGGTCTGGGGACAGTGCCCAGGGAGAGTGGAGTCTGTGGAGGGAAAGGCAGAGACTCCACCCTCCAAAGCTGCTGTTTTCTTCCGGGGGGACTGATCTCCGTAGTCTGGAGATGAGTTGTAATTCTGGGAGAACTCCAGGCCTCATCTTGAGGCTGGTCAGCTGACTACGGTAGTGTGATTGTCTGGACATGAACCTTCTCCTCTGTGGCCAGCCAGCCAGCCAGCCAGCCTTCCATCCAGACAGGCCTGAAGTCGGCTTACTAACTGCAGTCAGGGCTGCCAGCCTCCAGGTGGGGACTGGAGATCCCCTGGGTTTATAAATGACCTCCAGGTTGACAGAAACCAATTCCCCCCCGGGGGGGAAATGGCTGCTCTGGAGGGTGGACTGACTCTATGGCATTATCCCCCTCTGAGGTCCGTGTCCGTCCCCCAGGCTTCACCCTCAAAATCTCCAGGTATTTCCCAAGTGGGAGCTGGCAACCTTAACTGCAGTTAGTCTTCCCTGTAGCTTTAGGTGATGAATGAATGTGGACAGGCGGTGGCAGTGCGGCGCTGCAAGACCTGGAGAAGCTGACGTCATCTAGCCAAGCCGAAGTGAATATGCTGACGGAACACGTCTGACCCTGCAGCTGAACAAACCCTCACCGACTGTGAATGTGTGTGATTTAAAAGATATATGTTGTCCTCCCTTACCCCCCATAAATCATTGTTAGTCCCGCATGAATGAGTAACTGTAAATCGCTCCGAGCCAGCAAGCTCTGCAGGATTGAGCAATTAATAAATTGAAAGATCATCATCATCATCATCATCATCATCATCATCATCATCATTACTGATCCTGGCTTGTTCCCTAATGGGGTAACAAAGCCAGCATTTGTCGAGGCAGATCTAAAAACTTCACATCTAAACATTTGACTTATGTCTACAGTTTCCACTATGCAAGGAGTATCGAATTCAAAGCTAGAGACCCCAACAAGTACCCATAAAGTTCCTCACTGGGTCACTGAGGAAGAAGGTTAAGGCAAACTAATCATAGTTAAATAAACCATAATTTCCTGTGATGTCAAAACTGCACCACGGTGAAACATTGCTTGAGGCTTCAAAAATGTTACGTGTCCAGTTGTTAGCCAAATTGCTTAAAATATTAATAACTGTGGGGAATTATGATATTTAATGAGCAATTGGCAACTAAGGGAACACAAACCTATGTATACAGAAGTCCCACCTTATTCAGTAAAACCAAGAATCAATGCAGAAACCAAGTCTTTTAGAGAAATGGATTCTTTACTAGGAGTTCTTCACAAACATACAATAAATTCAAGCACAAACATACTTACACAGACCTAGGAAAAATAGATAGAAAGGGATAGCAACATTCACATTAGCAGGTAAAAATCGTTGGTGGGTGAGACGTACCTGATCCTGGAGAGATGAAGCGATCCACAGGAAAAATAAGGGAGACTATAAGGAATTAAGGGTCGTATTCTGTACCAGCAGAACACGTGGTTAGACTCAGGCAGTGCTACGCCTAGAGTCAGCAAGATAGGGCAGGGTTCAGGTCCAGAGGAGAGAGAGAGAGAGAGAGCATATGGCCAGGCCAGCCCTTTTATGCTATTTTGGGGCTTGGGGGTGGGCTTCACTGGCCACCTCCCTTGTCACATCCCCTTGGTCAGTCCCAGGAAGTTTCCTAATCAAGAACCAGTTTCAGGAGGAAGGGGGCGTAAGGGTTGGGCAATGTTGCTTCTAATTACTTTAACAGTGGCACCTTTGGAGAACAATGCCTGAGTCCAGGGGTATTGTCTTTTGATGGCTCTGGCTGATGAGTTGATGGGTTTAGCTGGGCTGTGGCAGTCCATTAATCCACTCATGGCTGCAAAGCTTTTGTTATGCCTAAGAGCCTACCTGCAGTCTCTGGTGAAGGTGAAGGGGGTGGGGGGTTGCCTGCATTTGAAGGAAAGGTTTTGCTCGCGGAGTCTCTTCAGGATTTTAAGTCCCTTTTGCAGAATGTGGTGTTCCTCTATAGCAAATGGTTGCTGGCTTCGTGGTGCTTCATGTGACTAGGGAGCTGGTCTCTCTTCCTGCTGCACTGTGGGTAAGAGATGGCAGGTAACCTCAGGAACCATTGGCACATCATCTCAGGGGAAGGCTTTTCCTCTGCTGGAGTGTGTCTGCAGCTGGCGTCACTTTAGGGTCCACCACACAGTTCAGACCCTTTTGCACAATAGTTGCACAGTCCAGTTTATCACTTTATGAACTATAAGTCCATAAGAGAGCTACACGCGCCTTGCAGGGCAACACAGTGGCAAAGCCCTTCAAAGAATTAGATGTTTCCACATCAGGGGAGTGTTTGCCATCAAAATCCAGAGAGGAGAAGTTAGGGAACAAATTCCTTTTGGCTCATACCCTGGGAGGAGGGGAAGTGTCTCTCTTCACTTAGAGATGATCCTGTAGTCGGGTTGCTGCCTCTGGCTGGGAAGTGGAGTGGAGCCTGGGGAGGGGGAGGGGGCTAATCCAGAGAGGAGAAGTTAGGGAACAAATTCCTTTTGGCTCATACCCTGGGAGGAGGGGAAGTGTCTCTCTTCACTTAGAGATGATCCTGTAGTCGGGTTGCTGCCTCTGGCTGGGAAGTGGAGTGGAGCCTGGGGAGGGGGAGGGGGCTAGGGAGGGGAGGGGACTCAGCAGGGTAGAATGCCCACAGAGTCCCTTCTCTCCAGGAGAACTGATCTCTGTCATCTGGAGACCAGTTGTAATTCTGTGAGATCTCCTGCCACCACCAGGAGAATGACAACCAGAACCCTATCGCCTCTCCCCGGGGCGCCCTGCTGAATCCTGTCTTCCTTCTGCAGGTGACTCCTTCCTGAAACACAATGGCATGAAATTCACCACCAAAGACCTGGACAACGACCACTCGGAGAACAACTGTGCCGCCTTCTACCACGGAGCCTGGTGGTACCGCAACTGCCACACCTCCAACCTGAATGGGCAGTACCTTAAGGGTCACCACAGCTCCTACGCGGATGGGATCGAGTGGTCCTCATGGACGGGCTGGCAGTACTCCCTCAAGTTTACTGAAATGAAGATCCGACCTCTCCGAGATGAAAATTAAGTCCCCTCCACCCACCTCTTCTCTACCCCACCCACCCCCGCCCCCTGTAGCTCAGTGGTGTTTTGTCTGAGTCTGGGGAGGCAGGAACTAAACATCCCCACCCCCACCTGAACAATGATGTTCTTCTAATGTTTCAGAAGTTGTCCCAATGAGTACAGTTGGCTTTTGGATAAGGCGCAGTCTCTACCTCTTTTTCCCAATTACAAACAAGGTTTCTTTAAACCAGTAACTCTCTCACATAGAACACACAGAAACACAAGCAAGAATACCAGAGAAGGACCAGGTATGCAGGTGAGATTTTAACCCTCCTCCCAAGACACAAGTTTTAAAAGAGATGCTTTGATATGATGCAAGCACATCTGGGAGTCAGTGGCCATAGAGGTTGGCTGCAACACCCTGCATAACAAGGCCTGGTAAAAGGGAAAGATCCAGGCCTCAAGGAAGGAAGGCCTATCAACATTCTAGCAGGACCAGAAAATTGTTAAGTCAAAGCCAAGACAAAATTCCTCCTGTGGACGGTATGGCATGGATCGATATAAAGAGATGCCTGTGTTGATTGATGCACGTTTGCCTTGCCATCAGAAGATGCTACATTTGGCACCACTGGGGAAGACACCAAAGTTTGGCTGCTGGGGAGAGGGACAACAGGACAAGCACAGCCCTGGTGCTAGCAGTGGGATCAGCACCCCAGAGGCACAGTTTCCATCCTCATGTACAGAATAGCTGATGAACAGGCCACTGCAGTTTGAGGAGATCTACCTGAGGTTCCTCTCAGCTAAGCCACTTTTAACCACATGGAGCCAATTTCTTTACTTCTGGCCCTCCTGGCAGGTGAGAGTTGGGGGCCGGAAACACGGCAGCAAAGCCATGATGTGTTAAGCTGACATGACACTGGGGACAATCAGTCTCTGTATTTTCAGTAGCTACTGTGGTAGGAGTCCACCTCGGTATTTCCCCAGGAGATGGACAATTCTCAGGGCAGTCTCGTCAATGTCCAGTCCACGCAGGAGGAAAGCCTTGGAGGTTTATAGGATGAGATGGAATCACGAAGCTTTCAGCACCATAAGACTCTTTTACTTCAGCCGCATGTTTCAGCAGCTGGTTCAACCAGGACAAAACCCACAGCCTCAGTCATTGCATCAGGTGTTCAGCAAAGCCCTCTGCATTCCACGGCAGCTAGACAAGTGGGGTTTTAAAGTCTCCTTTCGTGCAGTGCAAATGGCCATTTGATCGATCTGGGTTAAGGAATCGCTCCCACATCATTCCAGGTTGTTTCCTCACACCGAATGCATGCCACTGCTTTTACACACAATGTTTTCGCTACACAAATGTAAGATGAAAACGGTTTCCAGTGATGTGGCAAAATGGACACTTGCAGACAGCTGTCAGGATCATACGGCACAACCTTATCCCTGGCTATCCCTTGGCTTCTCCCCTTCCCTAACAGGGAGATGTCACACTCTGAAATTTCATGGACTGGCAAAGAGGCGGCTGTCAACAGACTCTCATGGGGTGGGGTTCGAGGTGGGAGAAAGAGAGAGAGAAAAATAGCTGTAATATTCCTCGCAGATGGATTATGGATTTGCTATCAACCCAACATCCAAATCTGCTTTGTTTTTGCTGCCTGTTCCTTCTGCAGCTCTTTACCGTCTCGCCATCATCATGTTCATTCAACATCCAGACTTTATAAATGACCACAGTCAGCTTCCAAAGGCCAATGACTACAGCTTGTCCAAAGGAGGGGGGGATCATGATTGCCAATCAGCCCAACTGCTCTGCAACGCCATCGAAAGGTCCGTGGCTTCACTTCCATGAAGGTAGCAGAGAGAGAGATCCTGCCCAAGGGAAACCTGAGACTACAAAAATCAAGACCATGTCTCTGGATGGAGATGTCAGCAGTGACCATCTCTGCAGACTTTGCCACCTGGGGAGGATACACGTGCCTCCTATCTATGGAGGAGAGCCAGGTTCCAAACTGCTCCCCAGTAAATTGAGAGTGCCGCCCATATTTCTAACCTCTCACGCTGCTGACCTGGCTTGCTGAAGAGGGGCTGACTGTTCATCAGGGGCAGAGCATACAAACCAAACTGCATCATGACAGTGGTGTTCTCCACGTCTCCCAGAGGACAAGTTTTGGTGGACTCACTCCCGTCAGAAACAAGCTGTGCACCTTAACGAGTCTCCTTGCCTTCCGTTCCTTCCAGTCCCATTAAGGGTGGCCAAAGCAATCGAGGCAGCTGATGATCTGTAGGAATCCGATAACACCAGGATCTCTTCCCACTGCCCCTCTCAGTTGCCCTGGTGGCTGTGGCATGCAAGCTAGAAACAGTGCCGGGGTTTTGTGGAGGAGCGTCAAGAATTGCCTCTTCTCTCAATGGACCATCTTGCATTCTTGCAGCGTACAATTGGGGGGGGGGGGACAGG